ACTCCTGGGCTCAAGCGATCCTCCTGCCTCAGCCTCCCAGAGTGCTAGGATTACAGGTGTGAGCCACCTTGCCTGGCCTAATTTTTCTATTTCTCGTAGAGACAGGAGTCTTGACTACGTTGCTCAGGCAGGTCTCAAACTCCTGGCCTCAAGCGATCCTCGTGCCTTGGCCTCCCAAAGCACTAGGATTACAGGCATGAGCCATCACACCCAGCCTGAGCTGCTGTCTTAACAGTTTTAATTTTTTTTTTTTACTTAACATTGTATCATAAACATTTTGTCATGTCATTAAACAGCTTCAAAAGCATAATTTTTAATGGCTGCATATTGTTTTCTAACAAACATGTATCATGATTTAGTTAACCACTAATTATTTAGGCTACTTCCAATTTTTTGCTATTATAAACGGGGTTTTGTTTTTTGATCTGTGAGTTTATGTGTGTCATGATAATAAAAGTAGTTCATATTTAAACAATGCTGATGCTGATTATAAATACTGGATAACTTACAAAGTAAGCATATAAAAACAACAAATTGACTTAAAATAATATGAATGGTAGACATTTATGTTTATTATGAATCACAATAATTAAAAATAATTATAGTTGTTAACATTTATTGAGACTGCGGTTAAAGAATCACAACATCCATGGAACGTAAAAATTATCCACATTTTTCAGATGAAGTATCTGAGGCTCTGATGGAGTGAAAACAGCTGAGATTGGCATTTAGGTCTGGATCATTTCAGAGACCATGTTCATACCCCATGTTGCCTCATTAAATGTGTATCAGATTAATTATGTCAAAATGTTTACCTAATATTATCTAAATTATATTAATTATAGGCATGTATTCCCACTTGTTATGCTGTGTTGTTTACGAAGCACAGTGGTCTTAATATTAGAAGCGAGGCTGGAGGTCAAGGAAAACTTCAGAGACGATACTGGATTTGAAGTGGCTTCTGAATAATGGGTAGAAGCAAAAGGGAAGGCACATGATTCTGCACAGAGAGATATGAAGGTAAAAATTAATAGGACATGTTCATGGACTATCAAAGTACTGGTAGAAATTGTGCTTTGGGTGGTTACAGGAAATGAAACTGGATAGCTCGAGTAGGATCAGGTCTTGAGGTCCATAAAAGGCAAGCTGCAGGTTTCAGTTTAAAGCCGTATGCTCTTGTTATTTGACCATATCCCAGTCCTCCTTTGTCCTATACAGAGGTACTGATCAAAATCACTCCGAAATGGAGAAATTATTCAATTCCATTAAAGAAACTGAATTCCTTCCAGCACTAATTTGCTGTGACTCCATAAGTTGATAAATTACAAAATTTATTTTCCAACCAGAAATGCTTGAAAGATCATTAATACTCACAGGATATGCCTCCAGAATCATCTTTGGGGTAAAGAGCTCAGTAATTCAAATTGGTGCTTAAGTTTCAAAGATAGATACTTTAATAAGAAAAGATTCTCTTCTTTAAGCGAAAGTGGAAGGAGAATCTACTGGCTGACCAGTCATTTCTTTCTCTAAAATAATAACTTTTGGTTAAATATAATACAGACCTGATAAAATTACAAGTATTATGGAAGGGCTAATAATAAAAAGCAATAGTTTTTCACCCCACTTCTTCTCAACTCCAGTACTATTCCCTGAAGCAATCATTTTCTTCAAATCATTTTTGTTATTAGTTCTTCTGGTGGGTTTGTTATTAACTCTAAATCAACATTTGTCAAAAAGAGAAATTGGCATTGCAGATAGGATTTGAGTGGGATTGCTCTGTGCATTCAGTTTCTCTGTTCCTGACATTAAATGCTAATGGTACCCTCCAACCACTATGATACATTTATATTTTCTAGAATTGAGCACTACTGCTCTAAGTAAAAAAAATTATGATTGTTTTATTAAATTCAGATATTATTTTTGAATGCTTACCATAAAATATTTAAGTCTCCTTACTCATCCCTATTTTTACTAAGTTACATTATTACTATTTTTAATTTGTTTACTTATATAATCAATATAGGCTAATTCATTCTCCCTAGTCTCTCTCCTAGAATTCTATTAGATGTTTGTTGAAGCTTTTCATATCACTGTGTCTTTTAATCTCTCACATTTTCCAGCTTTTTATCTTATTGATTACAGGTAGTTTTCTCAGATTCAGCTTCCAGTTCACCCATCTGCCTTTGGCTTTAATATGTTGCTTAACTAGCACATTAATTCTTTTTTTATTTTTTTGAGACAGGGTCTCACTCTGTTGCTGAGGAGCTAGAGTGTAGTGGCATCATCACAGCTCATTGCAATCTCCAACTCCTGGGCTCAAGTGATCCTCCTGCCTCAGCCTCCCAAGTAGCTGGACTATAGCCACACACCACCACGCCGGGTTAATTTTTGGAATTTTTTTTTTTTGTAGAGACAGGAGGTGGTA